ACTTTCGGAATCGGAATCCGACCCCGATATCAAAAATTCCACTCCCGATCAAACTTCCCAAAAACCTTCATTTTCCAACTTTTGCCAAATGACCCCGAAATGACCTACGGACCTCCAAATCCACATCTGGACGCGCTCCTAAGACCAGAAGAATCACCATACGGAGCTATTCCCAGGCATGGAGTCCCAAACGAACATCGATGACATTGAAATACACTTCGACCCAAATTCATGAAATTCTTCCAAAATGCCAACTTTCCACAATAAGCGTCGTAACGCTCTCGGGTCATCTAAAATCCGATTCGGACATACGCCCAAGTCCAAAATCATCACACGAACCTATTGGAACCTTCAAATCCTGATTCTGAGGTCGTTTACTCGAAAGTCAAACCTTAGTCAATTCTTCCAACTTAAAGCTTCCGAAATTAGAATTTTCTTCCCAAATTAACTCCGAACTTTCCGAAATTCAATTCCGACCACACGTACAAGTCATAATGCCCGAAGTGAAGCTTCTCAAGGCCTCAAACAGCTGAACGACGCACTAGAGCTCAAAACGACCGATCGGGTCGTTACAACAAGGCTGACACACTTAGTATTTGCAGATGATCTCATGATATTCTACAAAGGGAACTTAAAATCTATAGCTAGAGTTATGGAATAACTGCAACATTTCAGTGATGTTACAGTGTTTGAAGGCAAACCTTGAAAAGTCTAGCATGTTTATAGCAGGTGTGGATGGTATTACTAAACAGAATATTCTTAGTACAACATGATTCACTCTAGGAACTTTGCCTATAAGGTACTTAGGCCTTCCACATACTTCAAGAAAATTGAACAAGATGTATTGCAAATAATTAGTTGACAAGATCACAAACAAAGTCACGGCATATAGAAGGCAACAATCATATGTTGGGAGATCGCGAAATATCATGGCAGTATTGTTCTTTATATATGACTTCTGGAGTGCAGTGTTCATACTGCCACAAAGTGTAGTAAAGCAAGTTGACAAGAAATTCAGGGATTTCCTATGGGGTGTTACAGAGGATAAAAGGAAAATTAACCTTATTGCATGGGACAAGGTATGTACTCCAATGAAAAATGGAGGGATAACATTAAAGGCTGCTGCAAATGGAATACTGGTGTTGTTGGTAAGTTACTCTGGCAACTTGCTGGAAAGAAAGACATTTTATGGGTGAAATGGGTCAATAATATCACATGAAGGACAAAGATAGCATATGGGAACATACTCCAACGGGAGATTGTAGCTGGTATTGGAAGAAAGTGAATTCCTTCAAAGTTCAAATGGCAGGACAGTATCAAGGAGATAAATATTTGTTAACCTCAACAGGAGAATATTCAATGTCCAGAAACTATCAACATATGTTGGGCTCTCTGCCTAGAGTTAGGGAAGCTAATCTAATGTGGATCTCAGTTTATGCTCCCTAAACAGAGGTTTCTAGTGGTTGACATGTCAAAATAAATTGTTAACTAAGGAGAGATTAACTCGAGTTCTGATTCATGTGGATGATCAACATTGCTGCTTATGTGATCAGGCACAGATGAAGATACATGCTCATACTTTGGTCAGTGCAAGTGAATTTCAGAACTAAGAGAAAAGTTGAGCATTTGGTTGGGCATCAAGATTCATAAGAGTGAAGTTAAGTCAGGTGATAAAGTGGATCAAAAGGAGACGATGGAGCCAATTCTAAAAGGAAATAGTTGCTGCAGTATGAGGTGCCATGCTATACTACACTTGACAAGCAAGAAACTAGAGAATATATAGGAAAGTAAATGTAGATAGAGATTTTGTGGTTGCTCAAATTAAGAAAGAGATCTTAATTAGGTAGATTTGATACATTGTGTAAGACTAAATGAGCTAGGAACAATCAGTTGTTGATTCAGAAGCTATGTAATTAGAAGTTATGCTGTTGTTTAGAGATCTAGAGTCTAGAGCACCCTTCCTAAAAACACTAGTGGCTCTTTAGGATGTAAATCATTTTGGTTGTTATAGTACTTTCATATTTATTACTAAAAAAAACTTGGTCTTAAAAATTGGAAATTCATCTAGAACAATTGTGTAGTTTTTTTTTTATGTGTGAATAAGGGTGTGTTTGGTTCCTAGAAAATGTTTTCATGGAAACTGAGTGATTTTAGCACTTATTTTCTCTTGTTTGGTTGGTGAGTGAAAAAAATTTTCCTGAAAATATTTTATAGTGTTTGGTTAGAGAGTAGAAAATATTAGGAAAATTAATTTTTATGCTACTCTCCTCACCCCCTTCCCCCAAGTCCCCTTGTTTTTTGTGCTCCCTCCTCCCGCCCCCCCTCCCCACCCACCAAATACCCAACGTTTTAGAACTATATTTTCTTCAAGAATATAATTATTCTCCTAAAAATTCATACAAATCCGGAGGAACTAATGTTTTGCTTATTTTTTACGCAAAAACAACGTTGAAATTTGTGCTCCATAACTCAAAAGAAAATACTATATTTGGTTGAAAAAAGAGGTACTCTTTCTACAACACGAAAATAAAGTACTCATTTTGTTGAATTAAAAGAAAAATACTTTTTCTACATCATAAAAAGATTGAAATAAAAGAAAAATAACTTTTTTTATGTCATGAAAATAAAATAACACATTTTGTTGAAATAAAAGAAAATACTTTTCTTTCATCATGAAAAGATTGAAATGAAAGGAAACACTTTTTCTATATCATGAAAAAAAATTACTCTTTTTGTTGAAATGAAAGAAAATACTTTTTACCGTATCATTTTGTTTAAATGAAAGAAAATATTTTTCTACGTCATTAAAAGATTGAAATGAAAGAAAATACTATTTACTGCATCATTTTCTTAAAATGAAAGGAAATACTTTTTACTATATCATTTTGTTGAAAATAAAAAAAAAAGCTTTCATCATGAAAAGAAAGTACTTTTTTTTGTTAAAATGAAAAAAAAATACTTTTTTTATATCATGAAAAAAAATTCATTTGTTGAAATGAACAAAAATACGCTATCTATAACATGAAAAAGAAAGTACTACTAATAATATTTCTATTTAGGGTGGGGTTGTGGGGTGGGATGGGGCGAGGGTGGGTGTGGGTTGGAGGTGGATGGGTGGGTGAGTATGGGGAATATGGTAGGAAATGTTGAAAAAGAGTTTTGGAAAATGTTTTCCCTTCTTTAGATAGGGAAAATATTTTCTTCCAATTGGAGTAAAAGGAGTTCACAAGGAAAATATTTTTCAATACTTTTAAACCAACCAAATATGGAAAAATTAAAAAATATGTTCCTTTGTACCAAAAACACCCTATATCACAAATTTTTATAGTTTAAAGGGAAGGTCGGATTTATCCCTCTACTTTTGGTAAATAGTTTACGTTTATCCCCCGTTATACTTTCCCGTCCAAATCCACCCCTACCATTGACAAAGTAACTAAAATTGCCCCTAGCCCTAATGGACATCCACTGTGGTACCCAATCCCTCAAAAAAAATTGCCACATAGATATCCAAGTTAGCATTTTTTAAATTTAATCCCTAAACCCAATCAACCTATCCCAATTTTGCACTGTATCTATAAATTTTCTGCATATTATTAGTGAGTTCGCACCAGTAAGGTATTCTTCAACTTTTCCGGCCCAACAATCAATTTAAGATTTCAAATACAAGATCAATCGAGCCCAGTTGTCTTCTTCCCGCAACCGGCTGCTGAATTCTTGCCCAAACTGCCCAAATGCTTCAGCGAATCACCCAAAATTGAGGTTATGAACTCCTAAGAGATCCCCAACAAACTCCGATAACATCCAAATGAAAATATTGCAAACTTGCATATCCAAATTTTTTGACTCTAGCCTCAAGCTTCTTTAATGGCTGCCAATCTTCTCCTTCACATTTCACCTCTCAAATCGATGAATTTTAATTTTTTAAGCTACAAACAGTAGCAATTACTAATTTAATCAACTAATACTTTCTTTATCCTATTCAAAGAGAAGATGGTATAATCAACTTAGTATTCAAAGAAAAGGTGATATAATCAACTTAGTCATGTTTTGGCGATTATTTCAAGTTTAATTTAATACTTATCTGTACTGTTTTGGGTGGGTGACACACTTTTAGAAGGATGCTATGTTATGAGAATGCCTGCCCTAGTATTATGAAACCAAAACAAAAATTACTTAAAGTGCTCCTACATTGAAGAGAAAAGATAGAGAGAAGAAATAAGGTGGTGGGTTAGGAAGAAGAAATGAAATAGGCGACCGGGGGGGGGGGGTGTTATGATTGTGAGGATTACTAGTAATTGGGTCAACAGAATCATGGACGGGTCAATTGGATTTAGGGATTAAATTTAAAAAATGCTGACTTGGATATCTATGTGGCAATTTTTTTTTAGGGAATGGGTGCCACAGTGGATGTCCGTTAGGGTTAGGGGCAATTTTAGTTACTTTGTTAACGGTAAGGGTGGATTTGAACGGAAAATATAACGGGAATAAACGTAAATTATTTACCAAAGTAGAGGGATAAATCCGGCCTTTTTTCCTAGTTTAAAAGATCAATTTAGTTGAGAGAAATGAAGTGTCTACTTCATACATGGCTAGCGCTTGACCATAGATCCCAAATTTGTTTTGAAAAATCTAATTTGGGTGAAGTTTGGTTTGAAGATGAAAATGTGTTTGGACATACGTTTTCAAAACATATTTTCCAACTTTATTTTGGAAAAACATGTATATAATTTCCAAGTTTTGGGATTTTGGCCCAAAATCAACTGATTTTGGGATTTGAGATTTGAGATTTGAGATTTGGGATTTGGTCAAAATATGGGCAAAATTTATGGCAAAACATGAGTTTTGAAAATAAATCCCAAATTTATTTTGGCAAAACTGATGCTCAAACGGTGTAATGGTGTAGTTTGTTGTCTTGACAATTATGCCCCTAATAGGAATTGTGGCATCTTCCAGACTGTTATTTTTTTCCTCTCGAAGGGCCTATAATTATAAAATCTGATATAGTAAAGAAATTAGAGAAGATAAATTTAGACGAGTGAGAGAGAAACCCTAAAGCTTTATCGCCGCCCTCCTCCTTACATCTCACTCAAAGCTTCCTTCATCTTCTTGATGTCCAGTTTTCAGGTACACATCTTTCCCTTCTGCTCAATTTTGAGATAATATTGCTTTTTTCTGACTGCCTGCTTTTTATCATTATTTTGTTAATTTCCTTGCTGATTATTGTAAAACTGGGGTTAGTTTACGGTGTTAGCTATTTGGTTATCGGTGTTGGTAGCTGACCCTAGGAGTATGAATTGTGTGGCTTATATTTTTTCTTAAATGCTGTATTTAGTAGTAATTGTCTTTTGTAGTTAATTGGTTGTTGGTAAGTGAAATAAGGGTATGTGAGAGACTGTAGGGTTTTTGGTAGTGAGTAGGATATCCCTGTGTTTGGAATTTATGACACGGTGTGAATTGTTTGCAGATCCTTTAAATTACTACAGCTAACTTGCTAAAATTATTGAATGAACCTGTAGGGATATTCAGGAGGCGTTTGCTCGAAAGTTTTTCAATTTTTGAGTTTTATTGAGAACATGTTTAGTTTTTCATCAATGACGAATTGGTCAAGGGTGTTTTTTATTTGAGACACTCTACTTCCCCTCACAAATATTAAAAAAGAAAGAAAGAAAAAGCTGCAGCTATCCAATCACATTTATCTGCTACAAACGATTTGTGGCTCCTTAAGTTGTGTCTTTCGTTGTCATAGCCAAAGCAGAATTGCAACCTTCTTCATACTTCACACCCTTACTCCTCTCTTTCATTGCTGAAGATATACCTGCCAGCTTGAGGTCGTGAAGCAACAAGTATCATAAACATGAGTAAGAAGAGACAACTGGTGTTCCTTGATGTTTCTATTGATGGAGATCCAGTTGAAAGAATGGTTTTTGAGGTATCAAGCTATCCAATAGCTGAATTTGTTATCCCTAAATATAAGCATTTGAACTCACATAATGAGATACTTACGGTTAACTCCCATGAGTTCTCTTGTTTGCAGCTTTTCACAGATATTGCTCCAAAAACCGCAGAAAACTTTCGTGCACTTTGTACAGGTGACAAATACAAGAGTGCTGCTTGTGTATCATATTAAAGTCTTAAGCTTTTCAGATTGGTTTTCTAGTTTCATTTTATTGTGTGGCCTCTTATCCTGTCTGTATTCCGCTGAATTCTTCCCATTAACATAATTTTAACCTGCATTCAGACGTTATTTGTATTTGGATTGTCTTGTGGTTCCATCACATGAAGCACATTTTATATCTATAAAGCTAATCTATGGGGCTTAGTGCTACAAATTGTTGTCCCAAATGTGGAAATTATAAATGATAAACTTAATCAGATATAGTAGGGACTCACTTTGAGTAGTTGTTAGTTCTCTCTTTTTGAAAGATCCAAAGCCATATTTTTTTGGTGCCACACTGTAACATACCATTAAATAGTGAAATCTCTCAACCTTTCTTGACGTCTCTCAATTCTCTCTTTATTGTGCTAAAAATATATGATGCTTGCTCATGTTAAGGTAACTACCCCTGAAAAGAAGGATAGGTACATGGTCCATCAAAAGACAAAAATGGAGGATAGATAGTGAACTTACTGGAAGGACATATGTTGTGAACTAACTGGCAACTGCACATAAAACGAAAATGTACACTGTAGCAAACAATTTATGGATCAAGAACTACTCACAATGCACATTACAGGAACAGGTAGATAAGACACCCCCTAGTTCGTCACTTTCTTCCTGGAAGTTTGGCAGCTCAGTTGTAATACTTTTTGTCTAGGAAAATAAAATATAGAGAAAGGGTGTTCAGGTCACCTTAACAAATGCCAATCCTTTGCTGGTTGCTGTTGGCTGTTGGTTCAAGGTGCCTGGGTTATTGATTCCTTATGTTATAGATAATTTCGTGACATGACTAGTCATCTAGTGGGCAAGTGATCTTTATCTTCTTCCTTTTCTTGGATGCTTGTCCATCTCCATGTGAAGTGCTTGGTATCCTCAACTGATACAGGAAGAAATTGTTGCTCTTCAGGGGAGAAAGGAGTCAGCTCTAAGACCGGAAAACCGTTGCATTATAAAGGAACATTTTTCCATCGCATTGTCAAGGGATCTGTGGCTCAGGTATGTTTGTAGGATCTGGATATGCAGGTTCTATTCACATGTAGTTTGAATGTGTTCCATTGCATAGCTCTTAGCTCTGTGGTTGAGCACGGCTAAGAAGTGGCGTTTCATTTTAGTCAGATATCCTTGTTTATGCTGTAGGATGCAGGGCTGATGGTCACGACTGCATATCTTGTGATGTAGTTTTAAGGTTGTGTTAACTGAGTTGTTTGTCCTCTGTATTGATGAGTTTCAGCATATAATAAGGCTCTCCATTTATGCACTTTAATGATAGTTAACTAATTGTTTTTTCCCTTATCTATTTCAGGCTGGCGACTTGCTGAGACAAGATGGTATGCCGTTGATCAACAAACTTCATTAAGTTTATAATCCAGTGTTTGTTTGACTTATATTAATTGCTTCCTAAGTACTAGTGGGTCAGCTTCATCTTTTTGGGTTAATTTTGAGCTTTACGAGCTTTACGTGTTAGCCCAGTAAGAATCTCTTGACTCAGTAAAAATTCCGGAGTTAATATGCCTACTTCTTTGCAGGGAACTATGGGGAAAGTATCTATGGAGGAAAGTTTCCAGGTGTGACCTCTCTTTCATTATTCCGACCTTTATTTTGAAATTTGCCTCAAATTTTATGACTGCTTGATGATTGTCTCATGTATTGAATGCATGGCCTAATTCTTTTGGTAGACTAAGATATAATGAGTAGTAAATCCACGCAAACAACAGTGTGTATTTCTTTTAGCAAAAAATCATTTATCTTGAAAGAAAATGGGTTTCCTTTTGTATTGCCTGTGAAGGTTGGGGCTGACTTTGATCTAATTCTTCGCTGCATGGGAGCTTCAATCCATTGATATTGGACATTGTTTCCTCTCAGACAATGGTAGGAGACATGAATGCTATGTTGCCTGTGCTTTTGTCGATATTGTTTTTGGTTTTCTACTTAATGATAGTTTGAGAATTGGAAATTTAATTGAAGTTTGTTTTCTTTCCTAGAGATTAAGCCTTGTTTTGATTGTTCTGTGTGGTTCATTTGTTCAGAAAAATCCCAGGGAACTCTATTATAACTATACTGCAGAACTGAGGTAATTGGTTATCGGTTCAGAACAGTACTTAACTGTGTGGTAGAATTTCTGGTTAGTTATCATTACCTAGAAATCTTGTCATGAGAGCCAAAATGTGGATTGGCAAAGCTGCAATTTGCTGGGTAGTAATACTTGTGTTATCTGTATATTGACATCATATGTTCGCTATATATTGCCACCCAAACTATTCTCTCGATCTAGGTAATTGTCTAGGAAAATATCTTTCGGGAAGGTTCATTAATGAATCCCTTCTATCATTTTACGCAAAAACAGAATTTTACAAGCAATTGTGGTATAGGTTATGTTATTTCTGGAAATACTGGCTAGTGAGAGAGCATACGTTGCAAATTACAATTATCTTGTTGGTCTCAGTTTGTAATTCATGGTATAGTGCACTTTCTTCATATGCAATTAGTTGTCTGTCAATTGTAGCATCACCTTTTGGAGGTGCAATATTTGCAATGTCCTGTAGATTTATTACTTTGATGTGATATCTTGAACTAATAAATTACATTTTTGAGAGAAAACAAGACAGGCTTTATAACAAGTGAAATCTTTTGAATATTTCAGATGAGGTGCCGAAGCTAAAACATGATGCCCAAGGTCTACTATCTATGGCAATTGCTGATCGTGATGCACGTGGTTCTATATTTTCTATCACCTTTCAGGCTGACCATCATCTTGACAGGTTTGTTATAATTGTAGTTGCAAGTATACTGCCGCTTGTGGATGCTGGTTTATATTTCCTGCTCTGCTGGAAGCTTGCTGTTATGAACTGCTTCATTAACTTTCTTAACAGGAAATGCATTGTCTTTGGGATACTTATTGATGGCCTTGAAGTTCTTAAGAAGATTGAGAGTGTGGGAAATGAAGAGGGAAAACCTGATGTAACTGTGAAGATAATCAACTGCGGCGAGTTACCTGATTGTGAGACCTCTGAAGTTTCATTTCTCTTGGCATCTTGCGTTAAAATATTTCTTTACTGTCATATTGTTTCCCCTTCTAGTTTTTGTTAATTGAATATGCTGTTTGTGTTGTGAGGCTTTATTTGATTTTACTTCGTCTTGGTGCAGATAAGAGAAAACTAAACAAATTGAAAAATGGGAAGCACAAAAAATCCTCTAAAGAAAGAAGAAAAAAGAGAAGGAGATACTACACATCAGAATCAGAGAGCTCTACAGATAGTGATACTGAGTCTTCTGAGTCTGATAGTGATTCTGACTTGGATTTATCTTCTGAATCAGAAATTAGCTCATCCAGTGATGATAGGCGTAGGAAAAGGAAGAGATCTAAAAGAGACAGGCATAGACGTGCTAAAAGAAAGGAGAAGCGACGTGAGAAAAGGCGCAAAAGGCGTGATAAGAAATCAAAACGCAGATCAAAAAGGTTGCTTTTCTGTATTCTATCTTGTGTCCCATATGTTAAGTTTTAGAATTTTAGATGCCATATGTTCAATAATGGGTGGTAATAGTTGTAATATTTTCATAATTTCCTAAGTTAATGATAACTTGCCATCTCTTAAGTATGTGAGTAAATTTCGGAGGCTGAAGTTCTTTTTCTTCTTTTCTTTCCAATATTCTTTTTCCAGGGCATCAGATAGTCTTTCAGAAAATGAGAATGGACGTGATAGCAGTTCTGAAGATGATGGTGTAAAACGAGGTTCCGAAGGGAAGCACAAAAGTATGGAAAAGAAAACTGGTATTTCCTGAACCTTATAATTGCAGGTCTCTACGCCTTCTGTTACACAGATGTGCTCCTTGATCATCTCTGGTATCAGGAGTCAATTGTGTAGTCATATATGTGTCTCAGCATTTACTTTTTTGTATGCATGAAAACTCTTGTAACTTGGGAAGCATAGAAGACGAGCACCTGAATTTTGCATGCTTTTGAACTCCGTAAGATGGTTCCGTCCAGTATAATTGCTGCAATAGGCCATAAAGCAGTGGCAGAATGTTGTTAATTAACTGTAAAATTATCTGTATAGTTACACGATAAGAACAACAATTTGTTACTGATGTTAGGGTTTATCTGTATTATATTACACATATGTGGAATGGTAAGTCTAATATCTATTCAAAGGCACGCAAGCATAAGGTTACTTCAAATAATAAGCTTAACTGCATGATCCCTCCCAGAACCATTGTATTTTCGAAGTCTTACTGTGTTAAAAATTATTTCAATCTATTCGTAGTCAGCGTTCTGTGTTAGGTGTGTGCGGTTGCACCCTTGGAGTTTTTTTCACATCAGGCGAGGTTCCATGCCTATTAGTGAACAATTCTCATTCAGGATGGAGCAGTTAAGGTGTGTTTGGAAACCACTGTGTTGTTACTAGGCTATGTGATTACTAGGGTAGTAATTGCACAACCTAGTAATTATACAATATGGTAATTGCAAAGACCTGTTTGTTTGCATTAATGTAATTACAGCGTAATTCCCAATGTCATGTTTGGTTGTACAAGTTATAATTACATACTTAGATATTTTTATTTTAAAATAAAAGTTAATAATAAAATATTTAAATGAACTTTTTTTATATGAAGTAAATAAAATTTTATGTGTGACAAATATGTGTATATAAGAAATATTACATATCATTTATTACTACGTATTTAGAATAAATTTTCTTAAAGCTATATTAAATAATTATCAATTGGTAACCTTTAAATAATTATAAAGACTAATCGGTATCTTCCAATTCTTGTGAATACAATATGAAATTCATGATTTGTACTTTTTAAAGAGCAAAAATATGTATAGGAGTTTACGAAGTATTTTTCTATAATAAATATCTGTATTAATGAATTAAAAAACAAAGCTAGTAAAACACGGAATTATTTTAAGTGCTCCTCATATATTTGAAATGAAAGAGAGAGTGTAAAAAGAAAAATATACTTGAAAAAGAAAAATAGAAGAGAATTGAAAGTTATCTTGTAATTACGACATGTAATTACCAGCAATTCTCACCTCTCCCTCGATAATTGGAAGGTGTAATTGTCCTCCTCAGTAACACCTAATCCCATGCCGACCAAGTAATTAGTTGGCCAGACCACATGACAAAACAATGTAATTATACCCAATTACAGCCAAATCTAATTACAAGTTGGCCTTTCAAATAGGCTCTTGATAGTTTAAGTGATTGACATTGTTGTTTAGTGTTCTTTTATATACACCAATTATCCCAGTAACTTCACAGCAATTTTTATTACTGAACTTTGTGATTTTTCATGATAATTAGATATTTCTTGGGCTCTCCATTTCCCTTTCTTTTTCTCTGTGTACTTCCTTTTCTTCACTTGTTGATGCCAATTCTTGATCCCTTCTATTTTATAAATTTTTCTAAAATTTCTGGAGTTCTATAACAGCGCTTCTGGTTTTCTATAAGTTCTTTTCCGTGATGGTACTTCTTCTGATTCTTCATCTCCATCAAAAAGCTTTTGTTGTACACACTTTCTTGTTAAAAGTATTGGATATAGTCTCCTACTCACTCCCTTTCCCTGTTCTACTATTTCAAGATCCTTTTCATCGGGGAGAATTAAGTGTCTGATTGGATATTGGAGAACGAACTAGGGTTTGTGGTTGCGTTGTTAAGGAAGAAAGTAGAATCATGGTTAGTATGGGTATCAGTGTAATTTGGTGTCCCAAAGGCCGCTTGCTGTTTATGCATCATTTCTACCTACTCTGTATGTTTAAATGCATAGGCAGATTTATAACTGAAAATTTGAGTGAATCCCCATGGGGAACAAATCCTGTATGGGTTATGAAACACAAGTAGATTCTGCTTTTAACTTTGTTTAATTGTCTACCCTTGTTTCATGTGTACTATTATGGATTGACTACTGAATTCTACAGATTTATTTTTGCGTTTACAGTATGCAAGTGACATTTAATCTAACTGGTCATAATGCAATCTTCTTGCTTCTTTGAAAAATCTGTATGATGTAACTTGCTTGTGGGTAACTGGTTTATTGACATTTTGCAGAAGGCGATCGTTCTCCTTCACTTGAGGAGGGAGAAGCAGTTTCTCTTCATGACAAGAAAGAGTCAACTGACATTTTTGAAGGAGAGGAGGCAGACTTGCCCAAGGAAAATGGAGAGCGTCAAAGCAATCATACCGAAGTGGAAGATAGATCTGATAAATATGTTGATAGGCAGCCTGATGTAGTGGATGATCACCCTGGAAAATCTAGGTTCATTCTACATTTCTCATTGCACCTCAGTTATTGTTTATGCTTATGGATTCTTCCAGTTCTAGAATTTTATTAGAAGTCATTGAGCAGGAGCAGAAGCATAAGTCCCAAAAGGACATTGAGTAGGAGTATGAGCATTAGTCCTCGGAGGAGTCTGAGCAGAAGTCGAAGTGTTAGCCCAAAACGCAGTGTGAGCAGGAGTCCAAGTGTTAGATCCAGACACAGTGTAAGCAGAAGTCCAAGTCGCAGTGGAAGTCCTCGTCGCGTCTCGCAGAGGAGGAGCATCAGCGTGGTTAAAAGCGGTAGCAGTAGTCCAGCACGAAGCATTAGCAGAAGCCCAGTGAGAGTCAAGAGGGGAGCAAGTGTCAGTGTGAGTCCTCCAGTGAGAGCTCATTCACGACGAAGGAGCAGCAGGAGTCCCTCAGCGTCTCCCACAAGGCGACTTAGCCCGAGTCCACCCAGAACCTCATCAAGGAAATCATGGAAATCAAAAAGTCGAAGCCCAGTTAGATCTTATAGGAGGAGTCCAAGCAGAAGCCCTGTTAGGCCTTCTCGAAGGAGCCCAAGCAGAAGTCCTATTAGGTCTTCGCGGAGGAGTATAAGCAGAAGTTCGGGCAGGGTTCCTACTAGGGTTAGGCCTTCAGGAAGGAGCCCAAGCAGAAGCCCTGTTAGGTCTTCTCGGCGGAGTGCAAGCAGAAGTTCGGGCAGGGTTCCTTCTAGGCGAAGCCCAAGCCGAAGTCCAGGTAGGGTTCCTAGCAGAAACAATAGACGCAGCTATTCAAGAAGTCCTGTAAGTGCAGGTCGTAGGGCAAGATCTCCAGCAAGGAGCTCTTCAAGAAGCGCTTCAGTGGATGGATCTCCCAAGCGCATCAGGAGGGGAAGGGGCTTTAGTGAGCGTTACTCTTATGTTCGTAGATACAGGAGTCGATCTCCTGATCGGTCCCCTGTTAGGCCATACCGTTATGGTGACAGGTGAGGAGCACAAGCCTATCTAACTTTTACAGGAATTGAAATAGAAACGTTTTCTCATTAATATACGTATCCACCTAACTGTTTGGCTTTTTTGAAAGATATTCGAGATACAGAAGGTCACCTCGACGTTACAGGAGTCCACCTAGAGGAAGAACGCCACCCAGGTCTGGGAGCTCTTTGCTATTATTGTTAGACTTACCTTTGTCAGAGATGCTAACCTAGAACTTCCTAAATGTAGATACAGAGGCAGAAGAAGCCGAAGCCGCAGCCTATCTCGTAGTCCTGTGCGTCACCGTGCTCGTCGTTATAGCCGAAGTCCTGTGAATAGTCGTTCTCCTGTGGACAGATATCGCAGGTCGCCATCTGCTGATCGGCGTAAATCACCTTCTCGGAGCAGAAGTAGATCAGAGTCGAGGTCATCTCGGGACTCTCAGTCACCAAAGCAAGGCAGCAAAGATAAGTCGAGATCATCCTCGGCGAGTCCTCCTGGGAAGGCAGGCCTGGTTTCCTATGGAGATGGATCACCTGATTCAGGATAGGGAGTAGAACCATGTGTAGTTGCTAGGTATCAAGACATAGTTTGGTTTTTCACCATTCTACAACTATGGTTTAGTCACATGGATAGACTGCCCCTCTGTATTGGGGTCTGGACAGCATGTTGGATATTTATTACTTGAGTGTTCCGGTGTGTGCTTCTGATTTATGGTTGAATAATTTGTTATGCATTTCTATTTATAATTGGTTTCACTGGTAGATATCGCTAGAAGTGTTTAGGCTGTTTGCGTGCAAGGAAAAGGATGATCACGATTCCTTCCACAGGAATTTTTGGATGTTAGCTATTTATGATCTGTTGGTGAATGAATATTTTGGACAAGTCATTTGGTGATGTTGGCTGGCCTCGACAACTTTTGTGATTACATTTTCAGCTGCAGAACATCTTTACTCGGGTACTCACTTATCTTTTTCATATTTGGATAGATCTGCAATCTTCATGCTATTCTAACCATGCACTTCAAATAGTTCTCGTCTTTGCTGTTTATTTTGTTGGAATCATAATACATGGTGCCATTCCTCGGATTGTAGGCTACACTACGTGTTAGGGGCAGCTCAAAGAAATTTTGGTAACACCGCCTTAAATCTGCATGTTTTTTTTGATATATTGCAAGGAGCCGTTGTCAAGTTGTCTCTTGTTTGTCCATGGATTCAGCAGCAGTTTAATAAGTCGCCTACATTTAAAATGTCGAAATCACTATTTATTACTAAGGGCAAATACAATAGAGACTTGAAGTATGCCTAAAATGCATCTATTGAACACCTCAGTAACACTCATTCGCAAAACTAGAGCGCGTGCAGTTTACACGCTATTGTGTGGCCTACAACGAATGAAAGGCCAACACGTGAATTTTCCAGCATTATCTATTGTTTTCTCTTCATTTTTCAATCAGAACCTTTCTTCCCGTGTCTATTGTATAATACATCAATTGTAAAGGCATAAGTTCATATGTTGGGAACTCTTTCATCTTAAAGAAAAATAATACATCAACACATACAAGTTCATACCATGTTGCTTGTCTTCAATTGTCCTTCAACACCCGCCTCCTCTTTTCCCCTCACCCAACTCCACATTTTGTAATTCTCACTCCACAACACACATTTCACCCTTTATGAGCTGTTGATCCAATAGTTTTAATTTCTGAAACAGAGTGAAATTTCGTTGAAAATAAGAGCACTTTAAAAAATTGAGTGAGAAAGAAAGGGAGATTTCATATATGGTCGTGGGAATTAACGATGTTTGTTTTCTAGATGGAGGTAATAGCAGCAATGAAGGCTTATAGTTTGTGACTGGTCGTAGTTATAAAAGACGAATTGAAAAATATGTTTGTTAGAAGGAAAAAATATATTATGATTTGGTACATGTTCACGCGCCTATAAAGGGGTGAGAAACACATTTTTGCCATTGTTGTTTAATACTTCAATACCACACAAGAGGGGGGTGATTTGTGTGATGTCCAATTTTTGCGTGGACTGGATTATAGAAGGACCTGATCTTCTATGCTTTTCTTAAACTACAATTGCGGAATAAGTAATACAGAAAGTAAAGTACACAAGTATTTTTACGTGGAAAATATTCGGCTCAAAAGGCGAAAACATCAGGATCTTCTTCCAGTAGGACTTTTTCCAACACTTCACTACAACTCTGAGGCAAACAACAATGTTTACAAACCTCTTGCAAACCTAAGGATTAAACTCTAACCCTTGTAGCAACAAGCCACATGTTGTTGTGGCTGTTTCAAGTTAACTCTAACTTGAACAATACAACTCAAGTACCTAGTACAAATGCTTCTAAGAAAAGCTGAAAGGTACAACTCAAATGCTCCTACTACAATTGAACTAGAATAAAAGACAGACACATGGAACTCGTTCTTCAATCTGGTTTATGTAGCTTCAGGTTCGCACTCTTGAAACTCACAGGAATTGCTCACAAAATGCTTTGCTATTTTGCTGTCAATTCTTGCTTAACTTCAGTGTGTGTGCGTCACCTGTAAAAGAGAATACAACTGATATATATATATAGAGTTAGTATGATTAAGATTAACTAGAAACCTGATGCTTTACTCTTCCTTGATGGAAGAGTTCTAGTTAACTTCAACTTCTAAGTCTTTCCTTATCTTGGATAGAGTTCTCTTCAAGTAAGGAGTCCTGCTTCTTATCAAATATGCAATATTTTCATTCAGGGATTATCAGATTTAACCACTTATACTTATCCCTTGCACGTGCATGCCTTTTGCTTGATTCTGACCGTAACCTGCGTACATTGTCCGTGGACCTGGTTCATGCATGCGTTCCTTTGTCAATCATCAAAACTAAAACCGCTTAGGTAAACCAATTCCCCCCTTTGATGATGACAATCTCTGTGCTTTTTAGAAGCATGGAACCTGTTTCAACTCAGCTCAACATCAAACCCAATGTCATAACACCTTCCATTTAAAGTCACAAATCATCAAGGACCAGGTTCATTAGGTTATAAACATCACAGTCCAAAGTAAAAGCACACTTTATCTTCCCCCTTTGGCCCCTTTTGGCTATATTCTTGATTCATTTAGGAGTTCATGGACTCCTAAATGCGTGCAAGCTCTTGTTTGTGTTCAAGATTGGCTTAGAGAAGAAAAGAATCCTATTAGTGTTGAAGAAGACTGGGAGTATCTTGCGAAACTCGAGCTTCGTAAGCTTTAATATTTTGTGTGTATTTTGGTTCAAAATAATATATTACACTTGTTTATTTGCATGACATATTTTGGTCGAATTATCTTTAGATATGGAAAATAATGGAAGCACTACTAGCATTATTTGATGTATAGTTGCAACTTGAGTGGTAAGTTTAATACTCTATTTGTTTGGTGATATACTTTTGTAGTTTTGTTCTTTTCATCATCAAAAAATAATATTCTAACTTATGATTTTATCTTCTTTTTTTAGGTTCAAATTCAATCATGACCCGTGCTCCTAAAGTACACTCTCATGTTTGGGAACACTTTGAGGTGGTAGAAGATAAAAGAAAAATTTGCAAAGTAGAGTGTAAGCACTGTGGTCGAGTCTATAATATTCATCCAAAGAGGGATGACACATATTATTTAACGAAGCATATTAGGGGTTGTCTTGAGCGTCTTCCAAAAATCCGTATTAAAGACTAAGTTGATTCGAGACTATTTATGTTATTTTGATTTTTGAGAATTTGTTAGACTTATTTAAGCTTAGTGTGTAGACACTTAGACTTGTGGCGTTATGGGCCAGTGTTCTTATGTTGATGTTGTTGTTGCTTGTTAGTTACACTTACAACTTTATGTTTGGCAGAATGACAGTAGGTTTGCAAACTTTGCATAATGTTGTTGCTGTGACTTGTGGGCCAGTGAAACTTTTGTTGTTATTAGTGTAAACTTGAATTCTGTTTGGCAGGTTTATGCCCTCTATGTTTTTGTTGCATTGTGTTTAATTCTGCTGCTACTCTTTAGTGGCTGTTTCATGATGCATATGTGTTCTTGTTGCATCTGTGTAAAGTGTAAATTTGACTTATAAATTCTGTTGTTAGGTTAGAAATTCTGCTGCTGGGCTGCTGCTCAGAGTTTTCAGTATGATTTTGCAGTCCATTTTTGGTTTTAGCGGTGCTGATGCCTCTGGATTTGATTCATTTCGGAAAGATTTTCCTTTTAGTCAGAATCTTTCCTTTCATATTAGTAATAAATGTAGTCAGTATCATTTTGCAGTCCAAAGGAAAGATATTACTGATGTTGAATGCTGATGCCTCTGGATTTCATTTCCTTTTAATCATAAATGAAATGAAATATTTTCCTAAATTAGGAATGCACTGTAATTTTGTTTCTGTTTGCTAAGACTCTTAGCACTTAGCAGTACGTGACACATGAATATGTATCAAATCGAAATCGTACCGAACCAAAATAAGAAATACCGAACCGTACTGAATTACTTTGGTACGGTATTTGGTATACACAATTGATAAATCGAATACCGAACCGGAGTTCTTAAATACCGAACCGAAGTACCGAATGCCCACCCCTAGTTCTTGGCCTGAAGCAACTTTAGAATATCTTGAAGAATACCCTCATTCTTCTCTTTCTCCTTTGCAAGCTCAGACTTGAGAGAGTCTTTCTCGGCTTCTACTTCAACCAACCTTTTCTTAAGCCTTTCAATATCAACATCCTTAGCCCCACTCTCGTGCTCCTATGCTCTAACCTTGTTGTTCTTAGGTCCCTCTTGGATTAACCAAGTTCTTTGGGCGCACATTGGACTTGGTAGTCGCAATCAGTTAAAGTTCCGGCCCCAAAGTAGTCTTTACTAGTACAAACGTCCCATTTCTTGAGAGGAACTTTAAAGTGGTCAAGCACAACAATTAGGATAAAGTCATAGGGAATGACATGAGTCTTGGTGCCACAAACAACCATATGAAGGATTTGGATTACCAATTGATCTGCTTTCTACTGTCCAAACATTCTATAAGGACCAAGTCCATGAAGGTAGCAATGTTCCTTCTTTCCTGCCTGGGTAGATCTACTTTGTTTACAAATTCAAAAAAGACCTTATGAGAGGGCTTCATTTCACTCTTGTACACATCTTTGGGTTCTTGCTCCAAGACCCTATCAGCAAACTTCCTTGTGATGGCTAGTGAAGTAGGGAGATTTTCTAGACTAGGCCATTTCAACTTGTGTAGTCATTATATCCCTCAGCAGGTATATCTAGAATCTCCCCAAGCTCTTTGTCATCAAAGCTTATTTTCACTCATTTCACTTCACTATTGACCCTTCCATTGTCATTCTCACAATTTGCAAAGAATTTCATAATTTCAACCCTGACCAACCTTCCTTCCAATTGAAGGACCTTGTCCTTCCAACCTTGTAACTCCATTTTTTCCAGTAGTAGAACCATCCCTCCTCCTCCTCCTCCTCCTCCTCCTCCTCCTCCTTCTAAATCACTAAGAAGTCTCCCCTTCAAAATATTTCTTTAATAGAACTTCACCACTTTATCCTTTTATTCATCAGTCTCCTCTTCTTCACTTTCTTCCTCTACTACTTGCAGTTTATTTGATTTCCTAGCAAACCTAGTTATCTTGGACAAAACAGAGTCTTCTGCCTCAACAAATTTTTATGGAGACTTCTTCTTAGAAGTCTTTCTTTTCTTAGCACTGGGAGTCACAACCTCCACTTTCTCTGTCTCATCCTCATCATGAAGAACCAGGTCCATCTTCTCTATCTGAATTGCCTCACTTATTTCTCCAACTTTATTCTTCCCCTTGGTAGCATCTTTCTTGGCATTCTCCGCTAAGGCCTTTTTCAAGTTGGCCTCACTCTGCTTCTTCTAGCTCCTTGTAGTTCC